TCCTTTACCCAACACGATGATAGCTTTTGGCCTTCTTCCCGCATAACGACGTTGGAAAGGTTAAGTTGAAGTGCAACCACTTCCGTATCGCACGATGTCAGTTGGAGGCGTTGGTCCGCGTGGAGGTTGTCGAAGCGCCGTTGTTGCCTCCCTCTCCACGGCATGCAGAGTAGTGAAGTGGTGGTAGGGTGATGAACTCCTCAAGTGTCATTTGTAATGAGGATAATTGTGGGGAGTGTGGGAGTGCACAAGGAATTACGAATCCTGTTTTCATTTGTGTGGATGTTTGGCATTGAGTTACTTTAACCCACTCCTTCTCCCTCCTTCTCGCTCCTCCTCCTCCTGCCATCACCATTAGCACCAGTATGACCTTCACAATGCACAATCCGATCGCACTTGAAACTGCTATGCACTTTGCTGCACCACCTCACTGGCAGCTCCACCTTTTCCTCACATCATGTAGTAGTCGTGTATTTTCTGCTTCTTCTCTCCTCACCGAGTGCTACTTCATCACAGTAGTCATTGGCCTCATTTCGCTCCATCTCTTGGCGTTTGTCGCACAAAGAGGAGCTACCTTTACCTTTCCACTGCTTCGTTTACTTGCCTCCACTCAATCCACGATGCACCACATCCTCTCGAGTCACCACAGGTGGATGCTGGTGGTGGTATGAGACCACAGTCGATATTAATCCACATTTTGATGAGGTGGTCGATTGCATTAAACATCTCCAAAATTCTCACATTCCAAACTGTTCTTATTGTCAGTTATCTGATCTGATGGAGTTGAGAGATTGCGTTGTGGTAAAGTTAATTAGCCATGATTGAATTTTTATTTGGCGGTAATTTTGAAGCTAACACTAGTCCGCGAACAGCGCCTCCTGTAAACTTATTTACACTGTGAGGGTCGCAAAACTCCGAGACCATGAAGGAGATTTGTGCTTGTACAAAAAAAAACAATATTGTCTAGACAAGACTGGACAATGTGCTTGAATGCCCATTGTAAGGCCAAATATTTGCCCTTTTGGATTCCTCTCAGTCATTGAACATTGGAAGGATAAACTTGTAAAAACAAATCTCACACCTTTATGCAAGTAAACGAGAAATGTTCAGTAGCTGAGACTCACAGGTCACTTCATTCTGATATGAAAGCCTTCGATTCTGCAATGCGGCATCTTTGCTCCAATCTTGATGCTTTTCTACGACACCTGAGCAACGAAGTCAGCATCGGTGTTTCCTTGAAGTCGATTTGTAGTGGCTGCCGCTCATATACGCTCTCGACTCCGCCCCGGAGACGTTATCAGCTGAATGACCAAGGGACGGAACCGCAAAGCTGACGAATCCATAGAGACAATGATCTAAATACTTTGCTAATTTTAACCCTTTAGTTTACAGAGGATGTGGAAAATTGCTCAGTCGTAACCATTCTGTTCCCACTACTAATGTGTTCGCATTTTGTTGTAGGGTCAGGGTGGTTTACAGAACCTCCTCTCTGTAGCCTTCGAGTGGAACAGCGATTGGGTGAAGAAACACGCCAAATTCCTCGTCGGCACCTCGCCAGAATTTGAAATGGGCGTATACACTGCCGCCTTTCTAACAATGAATTCCATCTGGCCGGATGGCTTTCGCTACGCCCTCTCCTTGCGCCTCAATCGAAGTCGAATGGCCGTTCAGTGCTATCGCAATTCAAAAGTCATTTTGGGCTCCTGTTACATTGTCTAATCACTCTCCTCAACAAACCACTTACAGCCAGCTATAAAGCTATTCCTAAAATTTTGTTTCCTATAAAAATGATTACTACTGTTTTAACTGATATTTTTATTGTATTGCCAATAGCCTCGGGGAAACAATGGAATCGGGAACCATTTCCTCCTGCGCTGACGAGATAAGTGATAGTTTAAGGAGTCACTGTAAATTGCCAACTTTTCTGTAGACTACTAAAAGTATTAATCTGCAGACATAAAACCACAGAATTGTTTATTACCCATTCAATTTCATTGTTTTCCTTATGCTATGTTGACAGATCGCATTGATAAAAGACAAATGTTTTAATTAACCTGCTTGAACATATGTCTTAGCTACAATAAATGGTGGCAGTGGAGTCATTTGACACCAACTGGATGTGCCACTCGAGGCAGACGGAGAAGTCCGTCTTCACCGTACTTGTGCCTAGATGGCGGTGGAGTTTTGTTCTTGACAGCGAGGTTGCCAAGGCAGAGTTTTAGCACGAGCACTGATTAAAAACATCTCAAAAATGTGGGGCAATGGGAAGCAAAGAGGAGAGACTGAGTAATTTTATTAATTTAGACGATTGTATTACACTAGTCACAGCATTGACTGAAGCGGATACATCAAGTGACTTCCAGCAAACCCAAAACCATAACCTTGACACCGCTTTGTGAACACAACTCGAGACTGTAAAAATCGATACTTTCGGGTAACGCCGCGATAGCATCGAAATCGGTGTCAGAAGTGGATTTGGGACGGTGGTCCTTCCTTCTTTAAAAAACATGTCGGCCGACTTAATATTGGTGAGATAATTGGTTTTAAACAACCTTGCTTTCTTGACACCAGCAAAAAACGTTGAAGGAAGCACCACAGCACTTCACTTGAAGAATGAAGTAGGAAAAATTGCCATTTTTTTCCCGAAAGTTAGTCTTTTCTGAAGCTATACTTGCAAGGTTGGACGCGTAGAATTATGTCCCTCAGCATAGTCCACAGCACATGGTGCTTGCAGCATTGGAACGAGGAGGTAAATAAATGAAAAAGCGTGGCATAGTCGTTTTCCAACTACTTTCCACCTCTCTTTGACCAAACCTCAGTTTTGGCCATCGAACCGTAGTCTTCGGTGTAAGATATGGACTATTGTGATGAAGTAGCACTCGGTGAGGAGAGAAGAAGCAGAAAATGTACGAATACTACATGATGTGAGGAAAAGGTGGAGCTGACCAGTGAGGTGGTGCACCAAAGTGGATAGCAGTTTCACGTGCGATCGGATCGTGCATTGTGAAGGTCACACTGGTGCTAATGGTGATGGCGGGAGGAGGAGGAGCGGGAAGGAGGGAGAATGAGTGGGTTAAAGGAACTCAATGCCAAACATACACACAAACGAAAACAGGATTCGTAATTCCTTGTGCACTCCCACACTCCCCACAATTATCCTCATTACAAATGACACTTGAGGAGTTCATCACCCTACCATCACTTCACTACTCTGCATGCCGTGGGGAGGGAGGCAACAACGGCGCTTCGACAACCTCCACGTGGACCAACGCCTCCAACAGACATCGTGCGATGCGGAAGTGGTTGCACTTCAACTC